TGAATCAATGGGCTTCTTTGCGATGGACCAGTCTGTAGCTTTGGGAAGAGAGTATTATCTGTCATCTTGTTCACTCATCTCTCCTTAACACATGCACTTCACATGAACGGAATAACCTGGGCACTACTTTTTTTTACAAAAATAAAACAACGGCATTACCAAGGACTGGTGGGCATCCCGACCGGCTTCACAAACATCTCTGAGAAAGTGATTAAGGAAGGAAAAAATGAAGTTGCGTCACAAGGCTGATTTTCGGTTAGCTGTCAAGCACAGTTATTCCGTATGCTCCTGAAAAGGACCGAAGGGTTTGACTACAGCAGATCTCTCAGACTTTCAGACAGGACAGCACTAACCACAGTCTACAGAAAGCAAACAAACAGAGGCCAGTCACTACACAACCACTCCTATGGTCAAACAACATCAGAACTCCAAGTGGAAAATAACCCTGCAAATCAAAGGCTGTTTAAATTTAAACATGGCTGTGAGCAGCCAGTACCATTAATGACTCCATAACAATGATATACAAGCTGAGGGCAAAGACAGCTAGCTCATGCCTCTCAGAACGGCTCAACACTTGAAGGAGACTGAATCTTGAAAGAGTCAGATACTGATGTTGGGGGAATTTGATGGCAAAACAATTCTGATGTGTGAAATCTCCCATTGATGGTGTTATTTTTAACCTGCAGTTTTAATTACAATTTTACTTAGTGCATGTCACCACCTGGTGGTAACACAATGTAACTGGAAGTACAGTTTATTACTTAGTGACTAATGTCACTCTTCCGCATTTATGTACCTGTAAAACAAAGAAAGGAAAAGAATACAAGAAGCATCTTTATTTTCCTTGCACGATATAACTCTCAATTGTGGGGTCTTCCCTAGAATGTGGGTGTTACTGAGCTCCTCCAATCTACTTTCAGTTTATACTACCCTGCAATGTGCTTTGGATTAAATCATTTTCGCCTTTTACAATTTAAACAGGAATATATATGCATATGCTCCACTACCCGCCTGTTCATGGTGTCCTTTATGAAGATATCTGAGGTCTAAAACTAGGCCACAGCACTCCCTGTGTTAACAAGTAAAGCTTATTTAAATATTTGCTGACACTTATATAGCGCCCTTCTGGACACTCCACTCAAAGCGCTTTACAGGTAATGGGGATCCTCTCCACCACCACCAGTGTGCAGCCCCACCTGGATGATGCAACAGCAGCCATAGTGCGCCAGAACGCTCACCACACACCAGCTCTCAGTGGGGAGGAGAACAGAGTGATGAAGCCAATTTGAAGATGGGGATTATTAGGAGGCCATGATTGGTAAAGGCCAATGGGAAATATGGCCAGGACGCCGGGGTTACACCCCTACTCCTTTAAATAAAAAACACCAAGGCACAATTGGAGTAAGCTGGTGACTTCGTTTCAAAAAGTCAACCTCAGGTATATCTGGTACCTGTAGATATCGAAACGGCAGCTTCGCAGTCAGGGGGCGACAACATAATCTCCAGCTATCAAAACTGGGTAACTTGTTAAAAAAGTCCAGAGGAAAAAAACAAACAAATCGAACTACCGCTAGTCCCCGGATGGAAGTGCTGTCTTGCCCTGTAATTGATAGAGACAGACTTTGGGCTTTGAATGGAAATGATATGTACTGATTGCATTGTTGTCCTCCCTGTAGGAAGGGCAGCTATGAAAAAGCCCTTTTTGAAAAGAGGAGGCGACAGGCAGCTGCCTCTTCGCCGAGCAGGTTAGCTAGCCGCGCCCTGCTGCGAGGGCAGCGTGCGAGAAACACGCAGCACAACGTTAAACGGCGGATCCCTCGGGGAAACCGGCTTGGACTGCATCTCAAGGGGGATCGTGAAATGCAGAGAAGACGGTTACATCGTAGTCTAACGAGGACGGACTTCCACTCCCTTCAGCCTACAGAGGAATGGAAACGGATTCTCCTGAACGCAAGCCCTGAGCAAGCCAAACACAGAGCCAGGACAACCAAAAATCGCAACAACAAAAAAAACCCCAAACAAAAGAAAGGCAAACCCCTCGCCCGCCAATGACAAATGACAACTCAACTGGCTTCCATGTGAACGGGTGCCATGGCAACAAAATCAGATGACACTGTCATCCCCTTTGATCTCCAAAGAGGAAATCGTGCCCTTCTTGCTTCCCCCAATGGGTTCTGACTGAGAAAAGCAGAACTGCCTTGTCTGGCCTTAAAGCGCCTGGTTTCCATAATGCCCTGGCCCGATCCTGAAAGCAGATTAAAATCAGAAAGCTGGTCACCGCTTATCGCAAGTGTCCTTTTCTTCTGAAGGCACGCCTGAGTCCCCATTAGCAGACTGGTGAGGAGGCATGGTTACTATTATGAGGTCATCCAGACTGCTCTGGTGAATAGACTTTCTGTTTAAAACAGTGTTTGTTTCCATGCTGTGGTGTTTCCCTGTGACACATAGGGAAATAAACCCCCTGTACCAATCATGTGACCTCACCCTTGTCCATGTTGCCTTGCATAGGCTGCTAAAGGGTTAATGTTCTACTTGAGAAATGAAACTCTCATTTTCAGCATGTTATATGTTGTTATAGATGCGAGTTACAACAAGATGAACTCCCTTCCTATAATTTCTCATTATTCATGAGCAGCTAATATCCAAACATAGATAGATAGATAATACTTTATTAATCCCGTAGGGAAATTGATGATGGTAGAAACATGGTACAAACATGGTAGAACATATACATATAATGTTATATTAACTGTACCAGTACACCTCTATATGCCACAGAGGCTTATTTGTGGTATGTACAGTACCTGACATTCAACAGTACCGATAACTTAGCAGAGACAAAGCCGAACAAGGGCATTTTAGTGCCGAGTCAGAATTTGTATTCAAGTGTCCCACAGAGCTTTAAACCCTTCACAAAGAATTTTCTCCTTAAATTACTCTGGCTCTGTTGCAGTTTACGTACACATCACCCATTCTCTCAGGGGCTTCGTGCTAAAAAATTCAAAAATAAAATAAATTCCTAAAAGAGCAGCTGTTGTGAGATTCTCACCCAGTACTCAGGAACTTCCATATCTGATAAGATCCCTTACTCAGCTCAGGATGGAAGCTATGAGGAATTAGAAGTCATAGCCTGCACAGGGCAGGAAAGTCTTAACATTAAATAGTTCAGTATGCATGAGCTGTTGTTTTTGATCACCTAACTAGCACGTCGTTGCCGGTGGAACACAGTGCCAGCGTCATGTTAGCAGTTTTACTAAAATGGCTATTATTGAAGAACAAAGTACTCCTTCTGCCAGATCCCAATATTTACAAGCAAGCACAAATCTGTGAGAAAATTCGATTGAACACAGATGGCAGGAAATTCCTCTGAAATGACAGTGGCCAAATTCAAACCACAAGACATGAAAATAACCCCAAGTACCAGACATGAAGAACATATCTTATGGATTCTTTCCTTATGCAATTCACAATCTGTCACTGATTACCATTTGACGAGAGTGAAGATTTATAGGACTTCTGTAAAACAAGTAATCAATTTGCAACGATTAAATTTTTTTAATGGTTTCATAAAGACATTCAGTGGAAAAATGTTTGCGAGTCGCATTCATTAAGGAAAACCCTTGATGGTAAGCAGTCAAACAAAGAAGGACTGACTTTAACTGCCTGTAATTACAATGCAATTAAATGAAACAACATTTGAAAATCATTATTTTGTTACCTTCATGGTGTGTTACCTTCTGCAAAGCTCTGAAAACATGCTTGGAATTAAAAGAGGAAATAAGATGTTTAACTGGAACAAAAATGGATTTCAGTTTCAATCTTTGTTATGATTGTGTTTCTCTGAAAGCCACTTTATCAGAGTTTTGGCTTTAAAACGAAAGCTCTTCAAAGCACTTGTTACAATTTATTTTTCTTATTTGTATCTTTTTTTCCATGCACAGAGAAAATTATCCTTCACAGTCAATTGAATGCTTGGGCAATTAGTCAGATATGGATATGATTTTACCTAAGACAACAGTTCCTTTGGGGCGAATGGAGAAACACACTCAACAAATTTAATGAGCAACCAGCAAATATACAATTTCCTTTGACAACAGCAGAAGACAGGCTCGCTTTTCTTTTCTGCATTCACTTTATATTATAAATTTGCCCCTAGCTTTTTTTTTTTCCCAAACTACTGCAAGATACTGGCCAGGGTTCGACTGACCTGGCAGACAAACTCAGTATCTGTTTGATGTTAAGCAAACCAGAAAGTTTCCAATTTACCTAAAACTCATCATATTACAAGAAAGAGATCAGAACAGCTATAAAACTAACTTGCATTTGAGTAATGAGAAAACCCTGTTGTATGTTGTTACTGCTACTACATCCAACACAAGACATTTGACAAAATACAGTGTATTACTCACACAGTCATCACTATCTCCACCTTTCCTTACGCATGGCTGTGCATTTTTTAAACGCTACAGATCAGGTTTTTGCATGAAAAATGCTTTGGTCCTGTTTGTAAAATCACCGATTGGCTTTTTTTTATTCCTAAAACGCAGATGAAAAAAAAAAACTGCAGGGTATTGTTTAGAGGGTGAATTATGTGTTGTAACATTTCTTCAACATTTAGCAGAAGGGACCTGATTGCTTAACATTTTGCTCCCTGAAGAGCAAACAAGATGAACTAAGTAATGCATTCAAGCTGTCGATGGCCTCGTTTGCGTCTTTCAGCACAGTGAAGTCCAGGTAGAAAACTGTGAACTCCTCTGTAATGAAGCAAATCCTGAGAACAAAAAGGCTAGCAATGTTCTCAACGTGCATATCTGTGCTGGGTTTCAAAACCACACATACCTAAGGAAGTGAGTAATATCATCCTTGCTTTTATCATGGAGCAGGCATCTTTAACAGAATCATACACCCCAAGAGCCCTCCCCCTCTCCTTCATCATTTTGAGACCAGTAATCTGAGCAGGATAGTCAAGCAGACAATATATATTATTGTAGATCAGAGAGCAGCAGACAACACAGTAACCCCCTTGTGAAAAAAAGGTAAGAACATCTTGTTACATCAAACACCATATGTGATCGTGGGTTGAGTGTGGTGGAGAGGGGGGGGTGACATTTTTCAGGAACTGAAAAATTACAGATTAAATGGAAAAATGATGATTGTTCAGGGGATTTAATCATTAGGAAGAAGTTAAACTGCCTACAAAAGACGGAGAACATTTAAAGTTCTCTCTTCCAAAGCTGCAGTAACGGTGACACAACCAATTTTTGTTTCCGTCATAATTCAGTTTCAGCTAATTCAGCTAGTTTTCTAACAACATTCAAAAGCCCACCGTATAAGAGCTGTGTCACCCCCAAATGTGAATAAGAATTTGGAATAGAATAAGAATTTTCAACTCAATTCTTATTCTATTCTTTTTAAAGTCCAAATCTTTGCCTACAGTAAAAAGCCGATGACAGTCTGAATTGTATTTGTTTATATTGTGTATTTAACCCAGGAACCATCAGAAAAAAAAGTGTGCTGTGCTGAGGCCTAGAGACTGCAGGTTCACATCCACACTAAGGCACTTGCCAACTTGGGAAAAAAAAAGTCTAAATGAGGTTTGGCTGAACCAAGAGAGAATTGGCTGAAGAGGGCCTGTGACACTGGACCATTAATCAGTAAAAAACTGTCTGTACTCTTCTTGGCTCTAGAAGTTCTATTGCTTATGTTCCAGATTCATAGTGCAAGAGGAAGATGAATGGTTTGTTCACACACATACACATCTCAAACAAAGTGTCTATATGACTTTCAGTTCCCTCAGGCCAACTCAAAGGATACAAAATGGGTTGAGTAATAAGTAATGGATCCAACTTATGAAACAAAAAGCAAAAAATAATGGAGGATTCTTATTACTGCCTGCTGTCTTTTAGAACAACCGACATTAGAGATAAATCTAATCACTGAAACGTGCCTGAGATGATGTGTTTTACTGTCGCCCTTACTCATTTAATACAAATGTGTAAACTTTTTGCTCAAGAAAACATAATCTTGACTGCATCTGCCCAGCAGGAAGAAAAAAAAAAGCATTTTAAATCGGATTAAAAACCTCTCAGAATTTGTTCCACTATTTTAATAGTTTTGTTTTGGTCATCAGCTTCAGATAATGAGGATGTTATTGCATTAGCTACACTTCTAAAGTTAACTGATTCAACAGTCCTGAACATGACTAATACTGTGTAACATCTGTGTAATAGCATTAGTCACTGAGAAGAAACTGCTTTCAAATCAAACCACCAGCCCTAAAACCCTGGTCTCCAGTTTTATAAAGGAGGCACTGACAGGAGGGTAAACAGCATTTTTCTTACTTTAATTGTCATTATCACCACCACTCACCCCTGCAATTGGCGCTTAGAGACCATGATGTTATGGAAGTTTTAGTCAACAGTAGTTTTCAAGTTTTTCCTTTCCTGTTGATTTTATTCAAATACTCGATAGTATGCTTGGCTTCCCTACAAAGTGCTACAACGTGCAGATTAGCACAATCTCGTCCCGACTACTGCTCTTCTAATCAAGGGTCCCATCCTTGACTCTCTTCACATCTAGAAGTTCTCTCTGACAAGAATGCAGCTCTTAAAAATGTTAAAGCAATTTAATGGAAAGAAAGGCCTAGAACTTGGATCCCTGAATATACGGTAGCACATTCCACACTGGTGATGAGAGCTCACTGCACTGATGACTATGCAGTTGGCTACTGCATCATGTTTCCAGTTGCCATGCTAAGTGAAAAACAGTCTCCCACTCATTTCCATGATGCGCAGGTTTGAACTCAGAGCCCCAATAAGTCTGACTGTGAGAGCTGAATTTGAAGGACAAGATAGGCCTTCTCTCTGGCAATGGAGGGCAGGATGCAAAGAAACACAAATGCAACTATTTTCTCAAGGCACGCCTGACTGAATGCTTGTGGGATTTTGCACCCTGATTTGGGATGAAACAGGATGGCACACTCCCAAGGCTAAAAACTGGGAAATGTTTCCTTGCGCCTCTCTGTTCTTATTCACTCTCCAATCATAGTACCAATTACACCTTTAATAAAGACCTATCTTAAAGCCAATACCACACCATTGTAGCTGTACATACAGTATGTGATGCCCAACAGGCTTAAAACTTGAGCTTTGAAACAAGAGAGACTATAGCCTTATTCCAGGCTGAATGGAATGTGTTCATCTTTGCAAGATGAAATGTCCACAAGTCAGGTTCTGCACTAATACTCAATAAAAGATTTTCACACTTAAAAGCCAAAATTCCCAGTATAATGTCGGTGCTGCCTGTTACACCGACTACCTATGGAACCACACATGGCATCGAGCTCAATTCTGCCACAGAAGAAGCATCTCCCTTCAAACATCCAGCCTCTTCCTCCAGTGTCCCAGAGTGAGCTTGACAGAATGAAGACATAGGCACTTGAGACTCTTCAGCTGCACGGCCCCCGATTTATTCCAGAGCCTCACTACGGTGGTGTTGAGATTTTAAACAATCAAATACCGAATCCATGCCAGTGACTGGCATTCAACGTCAAGACCTTTCGCCAGAAACATGCCCCCAGACTGCTTTCCAATTAGAGCCCCCAGCTCATAAAGAAAGTGTATTTCGCATTTCTTCTCATAAAACCTGGGTGCATGACTTTGAAATGCAAATGTGTGCTTCCTTAGGAAAAAAAAAAATGAATGCAAGATCCTAAAAACTGAAACTGTAAGTGAAATCTGGATTCTCACCATTTTAAATTCAGCATTACGCAAACATTAAAAAAAATACATCAATGTCTGGTTTACCATGCAAACCTTTTTGTGCTCATAAATTAGTGTATTTTGGCTCAGTACAGTGTACATATCCTTATGATTTGCTACTTCTCCCCAGTTACTGGAGCACATTCATGTTTCAAAGTACTTTAAGCCTGGAGAAGCCTGGCACTTTTACAGTAAAAAGTAATGTGTTCATGTAAAATGACAGGGGTTTCACTGTAAATTGTGGTCTGTAAGCAATTGGCTTTTTAAGATTTATTGCTAATGCTATCAGCTTCAAATTCTCCGCAAAGCCTCAAGAAGACTGTAGTTTTCTTGGTAAACATCTTACATTTTATATACTTGTTTTGAACAAAAGATTCAATGGAGAGCCACTAGTATCTGAAATTGGAAATCAAATTAAGCTTGTTTAATGGCTAATACTTTCTTTCTTGACACTGATATTAAACATAGTTTTTCTGTCCCTGTTGCAATTTCTGTTTGGAATATATTCTTTGTTGATCAACAGTTCCAGCAAACGTAGCCCATGGAAACAACTGTGACAAGCATTTGGCTAGAATGCAGAAAACTGCTATTCCACCAAGCACTATCACAAAAGACTCCAATATTTTCACCAGATATTTCCATTCACTCAATGCCTTCCCAGTGGTGGTGCTCTGCTGCTTTATTCAAGGAATGGGTCAAACAGCTTTCAAACCAGGGAGAACACCACAATACTCAACACACACAAGGGAAATCGGAACTGAAGATGGTCCATCCATCCATTTTCAAATCGCTTCCCCCCATTCAGGGTCGCGGTGGAGCTGGAGCCTATTCCAGCAAGCAACAGGCGCCAGAGAGGGTAATCCCTAGACTCTGGAAGAAAACTGGAGCACCCAAAGGAAACCCACGTGAACAAAGGGAGAACATATAAACTCCTCGCCTACAGCACCCCAGCGACGGAATTGAGCCCAGGGCAGCAAGACAGCAATGCCATCCAATGCTCCACAGGGCTGCCCCGAAGATGATACAAGGCTCTTCTTAATGTCAGAAAAAACACCCCAACATTAACTCATACTGGGAGTCAGAAAATCACCCCAGAACTGCCTTCTGAATTAACATGAAATCTGTAGCCTCAGACCCACCCTTGAATGAGTTTTATAGTGGTTGAACACACCACTGCATATCAGCAAGATATTATTAAAAGGAGCTGTTGTTTACAAGCTAGAACCGCTGGCCTTATTCCTTTAATTACATAATAGTCATTTAAGAGGCATGGGGCGAGACCTAGGCTAGCCCCCAGACATCAATCAGGCGATGATGACTTCTCATCACCATGACTACTGCAGAGTGTAAACAGTTGTCTTCTATTTAAAAGACGCTATATCACTTTGCCAATCCGCAGAACTAATCACCCCATTTTTAAAGTGGATTCAAATTTAAACAATATGGACAGCTTAATTACAATACAAAGTAGTCTGGAGATGTGGCTAACCCAGTGTACACAAAGAAAGCCTATCAAAAGACAACATAAAATCATATGGGGCCTTACAGATGTGGTTTGCAGTAAGTTTCTTTCATCAGAAAATGAAGAACATCATGGATGGCTAATGGAAGAGAAAAAAAATGCCACAAGAAAATTTTAACCTTCAATTCGAATTAATCACAGCCATCTTTCATCATTAAATGCCATCTCTTCAGAGGATGTGGAGTTGGTTTCCTCCATCTTTTCTTTTAAGATTGCTAAGTTATTTTTATGTGCCTGTGTGCCCCTCTGCTGGTTTGTTAAAAATCACATCGATTTCTCTCTACAGTACCTTGACAAATGCAAGGACTTTTTTTAAAAACAAGATGTATACAGTATGTGGGCTGTGTCATTAGTTAGCAGTGTGAATGAGTCGTTCGAGCTGTAGACTCATATCCACAGGGGAAGGCTGTGAATTCGTATCCTGTGTGGGTGACTGGTGTGGTGCCCGCACATCAGATTTCAGTTTCAGTAAAAATGCCGAACTATATAAATGGGTACATAAAATTAAGACAAATCGTACCATGCATCAGTGATTCACAGTGAGAAATATTCTGTTCCTCCAGTTAATGCAAAGATTTAGAACGTGTTCACTGCTCCTTGGTTCCCTCTTGTAAGAGCAAGGGTTGTAGCAGTGAGACTAAGGGGCACTAGTTCAAAACCAACAAACTTGAGGTTCTAAAATGCAGGTGAGATCAAAGACTTGGACCACTTAACCAAGCTCGTTACTGGAGCACAGTTTGAGACACCTTTCAAATGTTCTATGAAGGAACAGATAAGACAGAATGAAAAGGGTAGGAAAATATGGACCTAAGTTCTGTCAGGCACACAAATGTTGAAATGTGTGATTGGCACAGCCTGTTAAGATGCAGAAACTTCTGGTTTGAATTATACAGATGGTCCTGGCAGAAACAAAGTCTGTATGGCTTCACAACAGTATATTATGTTAGGTGAGGTTTCATGTGAGAAACACAGCAGAAATCTAGGAGGTGTTATGACAGAGGATCTGAATGCTGTGACTGGCAGGAAGGCAGGATGTGTTGGAGTCTTCCATCTCTTGTAGTGTGTACCAGTGACCTAATCCCACCTCGAAAGGCAAAGGGCTTGTAACATCAAGAGGCTGACAGCGATTTCAGTGTCAAATTCTTTCCTTTGACCTGACAGTTGACAAAACAAATGGCCGCAGAGCACATGATGCGCTTTGGTACCGTTTTTTCATTGATTGAGCCAGCCATCCGCAAAACACTGTGCACTCTGTTTCCGACTTTCATTGAATACGTCTGGGGGACAGATCTAAGCTGTAGTTAAGACTAAGTTGGCCATTCTAGGTTGTTAACCATTTCTGTGTAATTTCTGACTGTCTGAATTACAATGTAACCTATATCCCCATCGCGG